CAGCTCTCCAGCACTTTCGTTTCCACGGTGCTTCTCACCTCGTCCTCTCACTGGCCCAGAGCAAAATGGTGCACAGAGAACCAATGCCACATCTGAGGTGGAGCTGAGTTCTCAGGAGGCAGGCTGGTGAGGGTAAGGGTAAGGCAGGGGCCCTTCACACCACACGGGAAGTTTGTTAACACCCTTGCCACGCCTCCACCTTCTCTCATTTTTTCCAAAACTAGTACTGTTTCTCATTATAAAAATAACATGTGCATTCCCCAAAGTACCTAGAAATATAAGCAAAGAATAAAGTCACCCACAGTGCACCTGACTCTACCAGTGGGTGCAGAATCCTACGAGAGCCGTCCCTGTGCATTAATCACTGCATTGATGGGGACAGGGCCCCTCCGCTGTCCGCGTGGGAGCGGGACTTACCTCGTGCCCTGTGAGGAAAGTGAGGGAACATGGTTTCATGTTTGGGATGGCGTCTGCTGGTTGGCACGTGCCTGCCTAGTGATTCACAGGTGGAGGCCCCATCTTGGCCAGACTCTCACCAGGTAATCAGGCGAAGCTCAGCCTCACCTGTTATCCCCAGGCCACTCTCCCTCCGAACTCTGCTGGACAGTCGCTTTACCGAGCAGTCAGGCAAGTGTTTATTTTGGTCAGGGTCTGGCAGGAAAATAGGGGGGCCACCCAAATTAGGATCATTCGAGAGAGGCTTACTAGTGAGACTAATGACACGGGTGTGAGCAGGTGTAAGAAAGCACAGGGAGTGTGCCGGGATGAGCTCCCCTACGCCCAAAGGGGTGAGGGGAGGCGCTGCGTGGAGCTGGCACGTCCTCCCTCCCTCCCTCGGCCTCGTCCCCCTGCCGAACCCAGTCGGAAACCAGAGGAAAGGGGAACCTGCTGCAGTAACCTTGCAGGTCAGCCTTCTGGGCAGAGAGCAGGGTGGAGAGTCAGTTTAGGGAAGGAAGTGGAGCAAAAAGCAGCCAGCACAGCAGGCCAGGGCAGTGCCAAGAGGACCGGGAGAGGTGGCGGTATGTGCCAGTCATCCCCGCGCACGGCCCAAGGTGGGGAAGGCCTCTTGCTTTACACTTTTGGAGGCGCTCCACTGAATGCTCCTTCCTTCCGGACCCCACTCAGCCTCCTTAGTGCCTCTCCATCGTCTCTCCCAGGCCTTCTTCAGGCCCACATTTCCAGAGTCTCTCCCCAGCTCCCCGAGAATCCTCACCCTCCAAACCCAGAAAAGGAGCCCCCCCCCCCCCCTCGTTCTTGAGTCACACAGACGTGGCCAGTGCGTCAGCCCAGAGCAGAGCTCCAGGCTGCCCACTGAGGCTGTGGCAGGAACCTCTTCTGTTCAGGCTTTGCTGGCACTGAAATGGCGGACCAGCCTCTGGCCCACGTGTGAGTCCAGACCACCTTCCCCATCAGCCAGGACAGCGCCCCTCATCACGGTGAGTGTTCCTTTTCTTCCTAAAGCAGCTCAGGCTGTCACTGGTGAGGACGGGATATCATGCTTAGAATAGAATCCATTTGGCTATGTGTCTAGAGCAGCGGTTCTCAACCTGTGGGTCGCGACCCCTTTGGGGGTCGAACGACCCTTTCACAAGGGTCGCCTAAGACCATCAGAAAACACATATATAATTACATATTGTTTTTGTGATTAATCACTATGCTTTAATTATGTTCAATTTGTAACAATGAAAATACATCCTGCATATCAGATATTTACATTACAATTCATAACAGTAGCAACATTACAGTTATGAAGTAGCAACGAAAATAATTTTATGGTTGGGGGTCACCACAACATGAGGAGCTGTATTAAAGGGTCGCGGCATTAGGAAGGTTGAGAACCACTGGTCTAGAGAAATGAATCTGTACTTGGTTGCTTTTAAAATGGGTTGTTGTTGTTGCTATTGTCAGTATTTCCCCAATGATACATTCTAACTGGTTATTGATGCTGTGTGGGAAAAGCTATTGATTTTTTTTTTAATATTCTTGGGTCTGGCTATCATTAAAAATTTTTAATATTAATTTAATAGATTTTCTTAGGTTTTTCCAGGGAGGAGTCACAATGAAAACTATACTCTTCCTTTCCCAATATTTACTCTTCTTCTGTCTTTTTTGTTGTCCTGGTATTGGCTAAAACAATGTTGAATAATAGTGGCGACAGCAAGAAACTTTGTTATGCTCTTGATTGAATGGGCATGTCCCATTGTTTTACTGTTAAGCAGTCTGATGTGTTTTACTGTTTGTTTCAGGATGCTTCTTTTTATTCTGCTAAGGGAAAGTAAAAAAGTTGTTCAACTCAGTTATGGATATTGAATTGTATCAAAGATATTTTCAGCATGCGTTTACCTTATATTTTTTCTTTGTCTTATTATAAGTTCTGGATATATTTCTTAATATTAAGCCATCCCTACACCCTTAAAATAAACTTTATTTGGTCATGATGTACGCTGTTAGATTCACCTTGTTGGTATTTTATCTAGGATTTGGTATTTACATTCACTATGGTTTTTTGTACTTGCTATATTTTTCAGGTTCTGGAATCAGGATAATTCTAGCTTCATGAATTGAACAGGGGAGGTTATCTATGTTTTAGGACAGTGATAGTCAACCTTTTCCATCTCCTGGCACACATAAACTAATTACTAAAATTCTGCAGCACACCAAAAATGTGTTTTTTGCCAATCCAACAACAACAACAAAAGGTATAATTTTGATTCAATCAAACCAGACAGTTATTGTTCTGTTAGCTGTTGTCATTTTTTAATTTGACAATCTGAGGAAAAAGAGGTCAGTGCCCCTGACTAGTCAGATATTGCATGTTTTAAAAATATTCATGGCAGCCCTAACCGGTTTGGCTCAGTGGATAGAGCATCGGCCTGCAGACTCAAGGGTCCCAGGTTTGATTCCAATCAAGGGCGTGTACCTTGGTTGCGGGCACATCCCCAGTAAGGGGTGTGCAGGAGGCAGCTGATCGATGTTTCTCTCTCATCGATGTTTCTAACTATCTCTCTCCCTTCCTCTATGTAGAAAATCAATAAAATATATTTTAAAAAATATTCATGGCAAAAAGTGAAAAGGAAAAAATATTCATGGCACACTGGTGGAAAATTACTGCTTTAGAACATGAAAATTGTATCAGAATTATCTGTCTCTCAAAAGTTTGATAGAACTTGCTTGCAAACCTAGCTGGGTCCAGCTATCCTAATATATAAAAACCCTGGGTCCGTAACTCCGTAACGACTGGAGGCTCAGCCAACCAGAAGTCAGTCCTGCAGTCAGTGCTGGGTTGCCGGGGCGACCTTCACAGCTGCTGCCACATGCTGTGGTATAAAACATAGTGTGCAAGTGATCAGAAGCGCAGGCACCACCTCCATGCCACCCCCCCACCTCCATCAGTCCCACCGGCCCTGCGGTGCCCTCCCCGAGCTGTTTCTGGGAAGGGCGAGGCCTGAGGGAGGACCCCGCCCTCAGAGTGCCTGGAGCGCCCAGAGGCAGATTACTAAGAGAAATTATGAATTTGAATGTTGCATTTGGTGGGAAAGTTCTCCTTCTTGGAGGGGATTTTCGACAGTGTCTCAGTATTGTGCCACATGCTATACAATCGGCCATAGTACAAACGAGTTTAAAGTACTGCAATATTTAGGGATGTTTCAGAAAGTTGTCTCTTAAAACAAATATGAGATCAGAGGATTCTGCTAATAGTAAACGGTTAGTAAAACTTGGAGATGGCAAACTGGATAGCAATTTTCATTTAGGAATGGATATTATTGCAATCCCTCATGAAATGATTTGTAACAGATCTATTACTGAAGCTACCTTTGGAAATAGTATATCTATAGATAATATTAAAAATATATCTAAATGTGCAATTCTTTGTCCAAAAAAATGAACATGTTCAAAAATTAAGTGAAGAAATTTTGGATATACTTGGAGATTTTCACACGTATTTGAGTGATGATTCCATTGATTCTTAATAGTATTACTCCTTTGGGAATGCCATGTCATAAATTAAAATTGAAAGTGGGTGTAATCATCATGCTACTGGGAAATCTTAATAGTAAATGGGGTCTTTGTAATGGTACTGGATTTATTATCAAAAGATTGTGACCTAACGTTATCGAAGCTGAAGTATTAGCAGGATCTGCAGAAGGAGAGGTTATTCTGATTCTAAGAACTGATTTGTCCCCATCTGACACCGGGCTCCCATTTAAATAACTTGAAGGCAGTTTCCCGTGATGCCAGCATTTGCGATGACTATTAATAAATAAATCACAAGGACAAACTCCAGACAGAGTAGGAATATTCCTACCTGAACCTGTTTTTGCACATGGTCAGTTATGAGTTGCTTTCTCTCAAGTTCGAAGAGCATGTGACGTTAAAGTTAAAGTTGTCAATACTTCGTACAAGGGAAATTACTCAAGCACTCTGAAAGAGTTTTTACTCTTAATGTGGTGTACAGGGAGATATTAGAATAAGTTTAATCAATTTATCACTCATTGTTTGTATCAGTGTTGTTTTTACAACATGTTGTTTTTATATGTCTTTGTTGTTATATCATGTTGTAACTATTTATTAAAAAATTTATATATTATATTCATATACATTTTACTAATTTTCTTTCATCTCTGACACTTCTATTATAAAGAAAGGACAAATAGCAATATTAAAATATTTCCTCTAATTAATTCCCTTTTTAAAAAATATATTTTATTGATTTTTTACAGAAAGGAAGGGAGAGGGATAGAAAGTTAGAAACATAGATGAGAGAGAAGCATCGATCAGCTGCCTCCTGCACCCTCCTACTGGGGATGTGCCCACAACCAAGGTACATGCCCTTGACCGGAATCGAACCCGGGACCCTTTAGTCCCCAGGGCAACACTCTATCCAGTGAGCCAAACCAGCTAGGGCTAATTAATTCCCTTTTAATGTGCACAAATTTCATACACCGGGCCACTAGTATTTAGATAAGCAGCGATATTTTCCTTTTTTTTTTTTTTTTTTAAGCATTCTGTATCTCTGTATTAAAAAAAAATTTCTGTCCATGAGAAGGGAGCCAGATGTCAGTTTCCTACGGGGGGGACGTTCTCGCGCAGGTACTGTAAGGCCAAGTCGGTCCACTTCATCTCTTGTTCTCTAACAGATTCTGTGGTGCCACCGTTGTCCTGCTCAGGTTCAGGAAGCTCATTCAGTGGTATTGCCACATCCTCGTAGGGCAGCTTGTCTTCTCGCCAAGCGTCATCAATCAAATCCAAGATCCTTCCATCTCTCTGTACTTCACTGTCCGTTCTCCTGCAGCTCCGAGCTTGTCAATTTCGTGTGGTTGTCCTGATCCTGAAATGCTCGTTCCTTTCTTTCCCCCGCAGCTGATCTCCCCTTTTTTTTTTTTTAAGGCTATATCAGTTCATTTAGATATTTTCCCACCTTAAATAAAACTTGGTAATTTGTATTTTCCTAGAAAACTGTCCAGTTCAGAAAATCTACTAGTGGAGAATTGTCCATATTTTCCTGAACACTTCTAAGAAGAGATTGCATCCCCTTTTTTATTACTAATGTGATACATTTGATTTTTCTTTCCTTTTAGATACACATTTTAATCTATTTGATTTTGTAAAGACCTGTCTATTTAATATGTCTTCCAGCCCTTGGCTATATTTTTCAATTCTGTTCTTTTCTGTTTTCTAATGTATTCTTTTCTGCTTTTATCTATATTAACTTATTCAATTAATTTTAAAGACTTTGTTATGAAAATTTCAAACCTACAGACAATTTTTTTTTAATATATTTTATTGATTTTTTACAGAGAGGAAGGGAGAGGGATAGAGAGTTAGAAACATCGAAGAGAGAGAAACATCGATCAGCTGCCTTCTGCACAGCCCCTACTGGGGATGTTGCCGCAAGCAAGGTACATGCCCTTGACCGGAATCGAACCCGGGACCCTTCAGTCCGCAGGCCGACGCTCTATCCACTGAGCCAAACCGGCTAGGGCAACAATTTTATTTTTATTTGTTGTTGTTGCTAATCCTCACCTGAGGATATTTTTTTCCCATTGATTTTTAGAGAGAGTGGAAGGATGGGGGAGAGACAGAGAGAGAAACATTAATGTGAGAGAGAAACATCAATTGGTTCACTCCACCACAGCCCCGACCGGGGGCGGGGGGCGGAGGGAGAGGGGGGGGCGGATCAAGCCTGCAACTGAGGTATGTGCTCTTGGCTAGAATCGAACCCTCAACCCTTCAGTCCACAGGCCAATACTCAAACCACTGATCCAATGGGTTAGGACATCTACAAACAATTTTAAAGTGAAAATCCATACACTCACCCTCTAGATTCTTAATGAACATTTTGCTGTGTTTGCTTTTTTCACTTTTATCCATATCTCCTATCCATGTACCTTATTTTATTTGTGTTTCAAAGTAACTTGAATCCATTTTTTATGCATTTCAAAGTAAGTCGCAAACATCATACATTTCACCTCTAAACATTTTAGAATTTATTCATTAACTAGAATGCAGTATTTGTTTATGATTCTTTAATTATGTTTTGTAATTTGTCTAGTTCCTTTAGTTCAATACTTAGTTTATTTTTCTCCTTTTAAATAAGTAGTATAATAACATTTAAGATATACTGACGATATCAATCATGTTTCAGGCCATTTTAGGAGACCCCTCCCAAATTTATTTTTTTAAAATATATTTTTATTGATCTCAGAGAGGAAGGCAGAGGGAAAGAGAGACATAAACATCAATGATGAGAAATAATAATTGATCGGCTGCCTCCTGCACACCCGCTACTGGGGATCGAGCCTGCAACCCGGGCATGTGCCCTTGACCAGAATCGAACCCGGGACCCTTTAGTCCACAGGCCAAACTGGCTAGGGCTCATTTTATTTTTTTAAATCAAAGATCAGGAGAGAGTCTTCTCCCTCCAGGCTCCAAATTAGGTAATAGATTATTTTTATTATAAGTCAGTATATGTAAGGTTCAGAATTCTAAGATACATGTCTTAGCTCCGGTTGCTATAACAAAATATCATAGGCTGGGTGGCTTATAAACAGCAGAAACTTGTTTCTCACAGTTCTAGAGTCCGGATCGGGATGCCAGCATGGTCGGGTTCTGTGAGAGCCCTCTCTGGCTTATAGACTGCTCACTGCTAGTGGTATCCCCACGTGGTAGAAAAGGAGAGGGAGTTCTCTGGGGTTTCTTTCTTAAAAAAAAAAAAAAAGAGGGTTTTTTAAATTATTATTATTGATTTCAGAGAGAGGAAGAGAGAGATAGAAGCATCAATGATGAAGAGAATCATTGATTGGCTGCCTTCTGCACGTCCCCCATTGGGGATTGAGCCCTCGACCCAGGCATGTGCCCTGACCAGGGATTGAACTGTGACCTCCTGATTCATGCATTGATGCCCAATCACTGAGCCATAATGGCCAGACTGGGGTTTCTTTTTTTTTTGGGGGGGGGGGGTTCTTTTATAAGAACACTAATCCCATTCATGAGGGCTCTAACCTCATGACCTAACCACCTCCCAAAGGCCCCTCATCCAAATACCATCACACTGGGGATTGTTTCAACATAAGAATTTTAGGGGAACACAAACATTCCATCCATAGCAATACAGATACCACCTAGAAGGAATTTTCATTAAAGTGTTTTACTTTCACAACAAGGAAGTATTAAGTAATAATAAGTCACTATCTACACATTTTTCTCAGCCCTTTGATAGTGAAGCTTCTCTCCCCTTCCTGGTTCCTAAGCTCGGGGCAGAGAGTCAGAGAAGCCGCTCTCTTACGAAGGAGGGACAATAAGAGACTCATCAACAGTTTAGTTCCATGGACATGACCTGGTGACAAGTCCTCTCCCTTCCAGCTTCCTACTTCCCTCTTACTTATCCAAGATTGACAGTGATGTCATCTAATTACAGCTTTTCTTTCTCATTTGGATTCTGACAGATGGACTTGGTCTATATGCTCATAGGAAAACTCGACGCCATACCAGCAAAATGTGAAATCTACCAAATACGCCATGTTCAGCTATATCTTACATCGATGATCTCATGGGACCACAACAGCCTGAGCCTTGTGTATCACGCTCTTCTACAGACAGTCCCCACTGGGAGAACTGTCATGTGACAAATGGCCAAGAAGGTTCCTGGACCACTTACTGAAAACTGTCCAAGAATTACTTTCATAGAAGCACACTACCAAGTGCTTTAAATGAATTACCTCATGCAATTCTCACAACTTCTCTATAGAGACAAATAGTACTATTAACACTGTTCACAGTTGATGCAACTAAGGCTTGGGAGGTTAAAGAATTTCTCTGAGATCACATGGCTGGTAAGTAGCAGAGCAGGGATAGTTTGAACCCAGATGTAACTCAAAGCTTATGTTTATATTTATTATGCAGGGTATTTGCCTCTCCGTACAGCTTTGGCTTCATCCCATTCCATATATTTTCCAACAGCAATAAGAAAGAGAGCATAGCCCTAGCTGGCTTGGCTCAGTGGATAGAGAGCGTCAGCCTGCGGACTGAAGGGTCCCGGGTTTGATTTTGGTCAAGGGCACATGCCCAGGTTGCAGACTCAATCCCCAGTGGGGGGCGTGCAGGAGGCAGCCAATCAGTGATTCTCTCTCATCATTGATGTTTATATTTCCCTCTCCCTTCCTCTCTGAAATCAACAAAAATATATATAAATAAAAATGTATTTTTTTAAAAAAGAAAGAGAGCATAACTTAGTAAAATAAGGATACTTTCTGCCAAGGTTTTTCTTTCTTCTGCTTTTCTAGTTTCCATGGCCTTCCACTCACCCAGCTATTACAATTAATTTTTATTCCAAAAACCTCTGTAGATCAAGAGCCACAATGGCCAGACTGGGGTTTCTCTGTATAGATCAGCGGTTCTCAACCTGTGGGTCGCGACCCCTTTGGGGGTTGAATGACCCTTTCACAGGGGTCACCTAAGACCATTGGAAAACACATATTGAATATATAATTACATATTGTTTTTGTGATTAATCACTATGCTTTATGTTCAATCTGTAACAATGAAAATACATCCTGCATATCAGATATTTACATTACGATTCATAACAGCAGCAACATTACAGTTATGAAGTAGCAACGAAAATAATTTTATGTTTGGGGGTCACCACAGCATGAGGAACTGTATTAAAGGTCGCGGCATTAGGAAGGTTGAGAGCCACTGGTCTAGATCAAGGCAAAACTCTGCTGATGGGAGAAAACTTAAACTTGCTCATTGAAGGAAACTTGGCCACATCTACTTTCATCTCTTGGGGCTAAATACTGAAGAATTCGAGACTCTTTCTCAGCTCCCCTCCACACCTCTGGGCCAGCCCCTCCAGAGCCAGGTTCTTGGACAGAGCTTCTGTTTGGCTGAGCCTGGGCTGCATGCCTTCACGCCAGAAAGAGAACACGGGACTGTCGGCCCCCCTTTGGTGTGCAGTTAGGTACAAGGTCTTCTGTGCTCAGAGAGTCCTCCGCATGCCGAGCAGCCTCACAGCAAGTTTCCCGTCCCTCCCTGTTCAGAGGGGGTTTGTGTCCGTCCTCCATGGTCCCCAGAATGTTCTACACCCCATGACTCAGCCCTTCTCAGAGTCCACTCTCTGACATCATTATGAATTCTTCCCCAAAGGATGGCTTAAGGCAGCAGTCGCCCGCTGGTGGTCCGTGGACCACAGGCGGTCTGTGAGGCCGAAAGGTTGGCGATAGCTGGTTTAAAGTACAAACTATGCCTATAAAAATTGTGACCGTGAAATACGGCACAGACAAACATATGCGGCATTTAAAGGGTGCTTTTAACACACTGCGGACCAGTAGTTTTATTGCTAGTTTTACCCAGTGGCCAGATAAGTTTCCATTGAACAAGTACAAAAAACCATTTTACATAGATGCTAAAGGCACGCTTTAAAATTAAATACCCATTGCATTTTGAAGTTATTTATTGCATGTTCTTACAAACTAATATCTTTTTAAAGTATGATTGGCCACAAGCCTTAGAACAGAAAACAGAATTCTTGTGATCCGTCTGCAATGTGTTACGTGTCATCTGAATCTAAAAAAAAAAAAAAAAATCCTCTAAGATAGGTATTACTGTCTTCATTTCAAGCTCCTGGATCAGAATCAGTTGTTGGACAGCAGAGACAGGACTTGGACTTGGGCCACATGACTTCCAGTCTTGCCCCACGTTCCTAACTAAGTATTCTAATTGTCATTCATCTCTGCACATCTGTTTTGATTTGGCCTCATTTATATTGTTGATTCATGAGCACTGGACTCACGGCCAGCGGCACGATGACTCATGCCCGAATGAAGCTTATCTCACACACATTTTCTCCATCAGGCACACCACAGGCTTCCTGCACGTAGGAACACTACACCGCACCTCAACACAGCACTTGTGGGCATTTTAAACAGCAAAGTCACCAACACAAAAATGCAAGAAGCACGGCACTAAATACACTGGGAAGAGGCCGCTTGTTGACAATATGGGAGCCGACACAAGTCGAGAGTCTCCTTTCCAACATCACCTGGGAACTGTGTGTTGGGCAACTCAAATTCCCCGCGCCCTGCACAGTCCTCAGATGGCTGTCACAGCACTTAGAGTATCGATGTCAGGGTTACAAATAAATCCTAGCAGGCAATTTCATAAATACAGAATCTAATACATGAGGATGGGCTATATTGATAAACCTCTAGAAGACACAAATTACCAATATCAGACAAGATAAGGGGCACCGCCACACTGCATACAGACAGTAAGAGGATAACACACTATCAACTCCTTTTTGCCTATAAATCCCATGATGAATGAAATGGACTAATTCCTTTTAAGGTACAAGTTACCAAAAGCTCACTCGAAGAGAGAGATCACTTAAATGGTTCTGTATCTATTCATAAAGCTAAATTTATTATTTAAAACCTCCCATCCCCCCCAAAAACAAAATGAAAAAGAAAAACACGCCGAACCGGTTTGGCTCAGTGGATAGAGCATCGGCCTGCAGACTGAAGGGTCCCAGGTTCGATTCCGGTCGGGGGCATGTGCCTTGGTTGCGGGCACATCCCTACTGGGGGGCGTGCAGGAGGTGGCTGATTGATGTTTCTCTCTCATTGATGTTTCTAACGCTCTATCCCTCTCCCTTCTTCTCTGTAGAAAATCAATAAAATATTTTTTTTTAAAAAAAAAAGAAAAACACCTCCATACCTAGATGGCTTCATTGATGATTTAGCAAATGTTCATAGAAGAAATAATATTAATTCTTCACAAACTCTTCCAGAAAACAGAAGAGAGAACCCTCTTCAACTTCTTTTCTAAGGTTAGCATTGCCCTGATTTCTAAATCTAAAAAAGACATTGCAA